GTGTTTGATCGAACGTGCGTCTAACGGAAGACTGGCAGTTGAACGGAAGAGGAGTTTCCGCAGCTAGGCAGGGGCCTAGGCTAACTAACGCAAGGCGATAAAACTCCCTAGCTATGATGGCGCAGCGACGCCACATAGGAGCGACAAGTAGCGCCGCCTGTCTGTAAAACGTATACAACTTTTACGCGTGCTAAAGCAAGCTTTGCGTCACGGCTAGCGTTACTTTCTCCTCTTCCGGTGCTGACCCCCACTACTGTATTTTGTCCCCACTTACGTTACCTATGGACATGCGCCTGATGCGCTTACCAGCTTACCACGTGGCGTACTTTGTCCTATTCGTAGTGTGTGAACACGTGGGGGGCCTTGTAGTCTGATTTAAGCTACTGTTCAGCCGTGTTGTCGTGAAGTACCAGAAAAAATGTCATCCTTGTGTGATGAAGAAAAGCTCATCGAGCTGGTGCGCGAGAATTCAGCCTTGTATGATGCAGCATCATCGAAATATATGGATAGCCAGTTTAAGGCGAAGATTTGGGAGAGGATAGCCAAGGAATTGAACATGTCACGTAAGTACTATATAGTATATATGCGTGCAGGTACGAGTGTTGCGCTTTTATGAACGGTTGCGTGTGTGTGTGTCTACACGTGTTTTAGCAACCGCTGGTACGTAACGAAAAGAAAAGTAAAATTGATTTTCTTTTTTAATTCAGCGTCCACGTGTAAGACGAGGTGGAACAACATCCGCGACGCATATAGAAGATGTTTGAAAAGGCAGTCCATAAGAAGTGGCCAAAGTGGTAAACCTGATAACAATTATAAATTTCAAAAGGAGTTGGCATTCTTGAACAGTCACATGGCAGTAAGGATCAGTAGATCTTCAGTTTCTGATGGACCGCTTGTGGAATGTGGTCAGTACTTTTATACTGCTCTTTAATTTACAAAGTTTAAATGAATGTACAAGTTGGAGTGGTTTCTATATTAATTTGTTTGTTACCATTGAATTTTTCCTCAGCAGTCGAAGAGGACAGCATGACGCCAAGCGATTCAGACGCAACAGAATTACAGAATTGTAGAGAATATGAGTCGGACGAGTTACCAGGACCCTCATCCGCGAGTTCGCGCAAGCGAAGGACGAGTTCGGATTGCGGAAACGAAAGCACATCGACGAGAGTGCTTAAACACAACAATCACCAACAAACAGATACGACTATGCAATATTTAAACGCATTACATCCTCTTTTTGAGGCACTAGACGAGGACGCTCGATTAGAATTACAATTAAGCGTATACAAAAAAGTGACCCGACGCGTTCAAAAATATTATGCGGAAAGGAAAAAGAAGAAGTAAAGAAAACAGTGATGAATTACAATACGTATAGACCCAATCAATTTATTTTTCTCTACTTGTCTTTTAGCATATTATGCACCTTAATTATATCTTATTCAGCTGCCAATCCACGGGCCCAGCCTCCGAATTAAAATAAGTCGTGAATACGTCCCTTATTCTGACAGCTTCTCTCCTGGCTTGGCCTCCTTGATGTCGTATGCGCAAAGCAGATACAGTACTTTCTGTGAATTTCCTGTACAATTATTACTTATTGCAGATATATTGTCTCTCATCTCATGATGTAAATTCATAATGAAGTTGCAAAATGCATACCGCAGCAACAATATTGTCCCTGTCCTTCGGTTTGGCTTTCAGTTTTCGGTGAAAAATACGAATGGGTTGACACAAAATACCAAACGCGTTTTCAACAATGCGTCAGCCTCATGATAAGCGATAGTTAAGTATTCGCTTCTCGTCTGTAAGTTGCGATTCCCGATATGATCGCATTAAGTATGTTTTTATAGGGAACGCCTCGTCCCTGACAATCACGTGCGGAACTTTTAAATTTGTATGAGCAATTTTGCATCTGCCGGAACGTGCATTGATTGCTCTTACAGTCTACGACCGAGTGCGGAATTAGCGAATATGCCTCCGTCGTTACTTTTGCCGCACGTGCCAACATCAATGTATCTAAACCTATATTTCCCATCGACGACTGCGAATAGCACCGTCGAAAAGGTTTTCTTGTAGTTGGAAAATTGTGACCCATTGCTGTGGGCTGCTTCCATAAGGATATGTTTCCTGTCGATAGCTTCGATGCAATTCGGAAATTGCCACATTTCATAGAAGTCGTTGACAATTTGTGCCCACGTTTCTTCCATTACGGGATCATCTTGGTCAATAAATGTCTCACTATTTCTTCACAAGTATTGGTAACGATATTATGGACAGTCGTATGTCCCAGGGGATAACGAAACGAAATCGTTTTTAAAGAATCGCCTGTCGTCAGAAATCTGGAACGAGTACAAACAATATGAGATACTAACTTATTGATAGCATGGGCAGTAGTCAGCACGCAGAAGTTTCTCGAACGCGAAATTGTATAATGGGCCAAAGATATTGCATTACTGTTTTCATATAACGCGATTCATACAACGCGATGAATACTGAAAATATAGTAGTATAATTCCTCGCATGTTCAAAATAAAATTTGCTTAGGTTGAGCATGATTTAATTCATTCAAATTCATCACAAAAGAGACCTCATAGAGATAGATGATTAAGATAAAAAGCAATAAGCCGTTAACTAACCTAAACTTTCGGATTAAACTCTACCGTAACATATGAGGACTTGAGCTATACAATTTAATATAACCTGCTTACTCGGAGTCACAAGCCAAACTGCCAACGTACAACCCATCCGCTAATATATGTGACAATTCTGTCCGTGTATTCACTATATACCTGATGAGAAGAATAATAATTATGTATTTCCATTATGCTTTGTGTTTATTCTCTTTCTTTATAATTGTCTTCAAAACTATCAGCGTTTCCCGTCGTGGCATTAATAATTCCGGAGAAGGGAGCGGAATTAAAATACAAAATGGCTATTAAATGGTTTCCTATCTCGGAAAAATTACTCTCCGTCGTTTTTACTTCGTTCCGCATAAACAATTTTTTAAATGCAGACTTGTATTGTTTGGTGGATGGGTTTCTGTTGCTACCACCTAAACTTCTTATGCATTATTAAAGAAAATAACTCTAAGTGATCTTGTCACACGCGATACGTCCACCGATATCCATCAGTTGTCACCAACATGTGAAGGGTATTGTATAAGATCCATTCTTTGACGATTCTTGCAGTATGTTAGGATCATCCTGTTAAAAGTAGTAATCTTCGTTACCCAATTTTTTTGTACTTTTCTTCAAATTTCGTTTTAAAATGTTTTGTATTTATCTATTATTCCTTCTATGAAAACCATATTCCCGGTGCCGTTTGCTGCCATACATCCCCAGGTCATAACTGAGCCACCTCCATGTTTCATATGTAGCACGCAAGCTTTTCATTTTCATTTTTAGCATTTATTCATCTCCAAACAAAATTGCGTCCGTCCGATCCAAAAATATTAAATTTCGATTCATCTGAAAATATTATTGGACATGAATAATAAATTTACTTCTCTGCACCTTTAGTTCCTGGTTTTTTGTGCCCCTGGTATTTCTTCATCAGCTAATAATTCGTTAATAATTTAATTCTGTAAATTTTAGTATACTCATATTTCGAGTACCCCATTTCTTCTCTATATATAATATGCTGTTATATTTTGGTAAAGTAAAACACGTTTTGTTAACGATGAACCTAGGGATAGGGGGTCCTCACACGGTCCGGAAAATGGAAAACGAGTGTTTTAAATAACGAGAATCAGAATTGAAAACAAAAATCTGGTTTATTTTCGAAAAATCGTAACATCGAGGAGAATGAAGGATGCTCCTGGAGAATGGTCCTCGGGAGACTGTGCGGGAATGCAGTCGTCCGTTTTGGCCTGTTCCCCGACGTCTTTCTTCAGGTCGTAATGCTCGTTTCGCTCCTTAGCGGCGACGCCGGCTTCCGCGACCCTCTCGGCGACAGTGATCTCGATCGCTGTGAAAAGTTCAAACAAAATGAATAACGGCAAATTTGTATGCAATCCCTTAGAAATTGTGCGGATGTGAGTATGCTCCATACAGTAGAAAATTTCGATATTTCGTATCGATCATTCATGTGTCTCATCAGAGTTTGAATATTTGACATTTGTAATAAATTTTGTACATCACATCAAATACTAAATTATAATTAAATTACTATCAATTACATTAAAATGTAAAGAGGCTCTGGAGGATGGCAATGTTATACTTAAACCCGTCTTCACGGGTGAAGCCTTTCTGTTTCGCGCTATTTTTTACTTTGCTACCATTTTCTC